ATTCAAATTTTAGGAATTATTCTAGCTCGCTAGGTTAAGATTTTTTTGCACATAGAAACTCCTACACTTAAAAATCAATATTTTCAACAATACATTAAATTTAATAATTTATATTAAATTATAATAAATCCCTAAAATATAATCCATACATATAATAAAATTGTAATTAAGTCGAATCTGTACATTAAATATTTTTTGGAAAATCTTATTGAAATAGACATTATTATCGATACAGAGGCAGAATCTTTAATTTTTGGAATTTTTGTCTGTCTGTTACCGCATCACAGAAAAACCACTGGAGGGATTTTGATGAAATTTGGTACGATCATAGCTAGTTATCCGGGTCAACATATAGGATAATTTTTACCGCGGGAAAATATCTTATCTCTGAAAAAAAATTACAAAAACTGCAATGTAAGAGTATACTAATATGTAAAACCTAAGAATTTGGTTTTTGGTCATGCGATCGCGGGCGGAGCCGCGGGCAATGCTAGTTAATCAATATAATTCAAAACAATAAAAAATATTCATAATAAGTCAGCTAAAATAATTACCGTAAAATGCTGCAACATTGCTTAGAAGGATATTTGAATAAATAAAATGGTGATCTATTTAGTTTAATTTTCCCATATGCATTAGACACCGCTATAGTCTTCGACGTTCAAATTATTACCATTAAGACATTATTATTTTTATTTATTTATTTATACTTTATTGTACACTACAATCATAAAGCAAATACAGTAAACAAAATATCAAAAAAAAGCAAAAAAAAGTGCGCACAAAAGGCGGTGTTATCGCTAATTAGCGATTTCTTCCTGACGACTTTCTTTTTACACATTATTATATACAATTTTTTACAGTGATAGGCAAAGTTGCAATAGATCTTTCATAGAAAACTATAGTTAACTATAGGGTTGTAGAAAAAATAAATACAGGATATTTATACAGAACTTTTATTAACTTATCTCAAAAAATAAAAAAGTAAGTACCCCATTACGAGCAATCATAAGTCTTCCTGTCTCAAAAGTATCTCTATCTTACCATTAATAAAAATTTTAGGAACACGATGTAGGAAATAAATTCAAATATAAGATGATACCTATGTTAGTAAAAAAAATACATATATTAGTTTTTTTTTTTAATTTTGGGCTTTTTTAATTTTAAAGTTGAATTGGGCCTTTAATTGGTTTAGTAATGAGTGACATTCTTTACAAATTGTTCGGACAGTAGGCAGTGGTTTAGAATCAATTATTTTCAATTTCAGACATTCTGGTGTGCTTTTGCAAAATGGAGCATTCATTTCAGTTTTTTTTTTGTAAATTTTTTAGGCAATCTATTTGTATTACTCGTATCATCTAAAGGATTAAATGAAATATTTATTACAGTAATGGAAAGACTACAAAGGCTCTTAGGATTATTAAAAATCAGAGATGTTTTAAATAAAACTATCTTTTCGGATTATATCGCGGATTTATTTTTATTACTGTCTGAGCTTCTTCTTTAGTTGAAAACACTTTAGGTCTCCCCAATGGTCTATTATGAATATTTTTGGATATATCAACAATTGTCTGTCGCGGGATACCAAACTGCTTTTCCGATTCGTATGATGGATGATATTACTTTATTTGGGACGAGATCAACAGCTACTTTTAACATTTCGTTAGAGTAATCAGCATAGCTACGAGCTGGTTTTCTTCTGTTTTACTTTTTAGTTTTTTCCATTTTTTTATATACCTGCAATAAATATTTAGCTGAATTCGTTTTCTTGAAATTATAACAACAATAATTATAATGATAATTACTTACATTACATTTGAACGTCATAAGATCCGTCCAGTGTCAATCCTACAGCTCGGCAAATTTGTAACACTCTAGTTTCCAAAACCCTTCACAACATTGCCTAGTCAATAAAAACTTTTTAACAAAAAAAATAAAAACTGACTTCAAACAAAAGCACTAAAAAGGAAAAAATAACTGATTGGTAGTTTTCGTTTACTATACATACCTAATCAAATATTTTCGAAGTCGGTGTGCTTTGCTTTGTATGGGCTGGCACCGATTTCGAAAATATTTGATTAGGTATGTATTTAAGAGGTAGGTTTTAATTACTGAGCCAAAGCACGCCGACTTCGAAAATATTTGGTTAGGTATATATAGTAAATGAAAAGTACCAATCAGTTATTTTTCTCTTTTTAGTGTAGACAGTAGTAGCAAAGTAAGAATTCTTACGTGTTAGGCTTGTCAAATCAAACAAAATAAGCCCAAACTCAAAGTATCTACTATTAGCCGTTGAAGAGTTCCACCTATCCACCTTCTGGCCTTACCATCAGATCTGGTCAACAATACCGAACCACTTTACTATCAACGGAAATAGAAAAACTTGCAAAGTTTCTAGTCAATATGACAATTAGACGTAGGTTAAATTCATCATTAGCTATTTTTCCACCCTTAGGGGTGGTATTTTTTTTTTGAAATTTAAATGGGACCAATCTGGAAGTATACCCTTGTAAACAAAATAAAAATTTTCCAAATCGGTTAATAAATGACGGAGTTCTGAGGTAACAAACATAAAAAAAAATACAGTCGAATTGAGAACCTCCTCCTTTTTGAAGTCGGTTGAAAAATATAATGATGTCGTGTCTTTACCTTCGGACGTTTTATCTGAACAAAAACTAGGTTTTTGTAGCTAAAATTACAAAGCTAGAAGACACTATAAAAATCGAACTTCCACTCGCGTTGAACTTTGTCATACAACTAATTTTATATATGTAGCAATATACTCTATGCAACTAATAAAGTAATAATAATGGTAACCCGTAAAAAATATGTTGCCATAATAATGTAAAATTACTGTCAAATGGTAAAAAATAAGGAAATACTAAGCAAAGGCGAGATGTCGTACTCTAAACGATCTAGGCAAAATTATGTTTGCTTGGAAAATTTGCAGCCTTTTACGGTATTTTAAATAATTTAAAATTATTTAAAATTAGTTAAAAAGTCGAATAATATAAACCGAATTAAAAAATGATCAAATAATCTATACATATAATAAAATTGTAACGAAGCCGAATCTGTACATTAAATATTTTTTGGGAAATCTTATTGAAATAGACATTATTATCGATACAGAGGCCGAATCTATAGTTTTTAGAATTTTGTCTGTCTGTCTGTCTGTCTGTCTGTTACCGCATCACAGAAAAACCATTCGAGGTATTTTGATGAAATTTGGTACGATGATAGCTGGTTATCCGGGTCAACATATTGGATACTTTTTACTGCAGGAAAATATCTCATTTCTGAGATAACGGCACAAGCTTAGTATATGGACCGTGGCCCCTGGAGAAGCGCGTGGGTATTTTTGGATAGGGGATATTTGGGAGAGGAGGTGATAGGGGTTCAAATATATCCCCCCCAACGTGCGTTCACCTTGTCGTGGTGGGGGGGCTCAGTAGTGTACTCGCGAAGCCAAGAAACGCACAGGGAGGTGGCCCGCTTCGGTGGGCGGTGGGAGGCGGCCTTCTTCGGAGGGCGGTGTACCATGCGGGTTGCTCCTGGTACTTCTCTGATAGCAGAGTGGACCGTGGAGCAACCCCATGGTTGTTGTGGTCTGCTTCGGCAGACCTGCCGTCGGGGCGTCGTAGTTGAATGCGTAAGCGATCCTGCGACGCCCCATTAAGACGGGGGAAGGTTTTGTTGGGTTTTAGTGGGTAGTACTGGCTTCGCCGGTGAGTCCCACACTTCGTGCGTAAATGCATTTCCCAACGTTAAAAAAAAAACAAAGGGGTTCAAATATATAAAAAATATTTCGAGGAGTCAAAAGTTATGGAGACTTAAAGTTAGAACATTTCCATACATTTCAATATCTAAATAAGTCATTACAAAAGATAAACATACCTTTAACGAATAGTAAATGTCCTTTTCCGTGTAAAATACATATTTTCATAACGAATAAAGCTTTATTGTAGAAATATTTTGATAATTTCACAATAAACAAAAAAAAACAATTTATAACAAAAACTGTCAATTTCGGTTTTATATACCGCATTCAGGACAACAGATTATCGCGTAATAATTATGTAGTTAAGAGTTATACATATTATTAAAAGTGAACATTTTCATCAAATTACTAAGATTTTAAAATAGATATGCTATTTTATTTGATTTATGTAAAATATTGAGTTATATAATTAATTTATACTTAGCAAAAAAATTTAAACCAGTATTTGATTTTATTATCTGTGAATACTTTTCAGTATTTCTGGCGGGTAGTCACAAAATAGTGCGAAGTTTGATAGCTTAAGTGAATAAGATCTGACTTAAGACTCATTAAACGCGTTTAGGTTTTCATATTTTTTGCTCTTTTTCATAGTTATTTTTCTCATATTATTTTCCTGTAGTTATTATTTTTTGTTAATTTTCGTATACGCTTGTTGCTAGTTTTTGTTTTAATAGTATTACTATACTTTTAAGTATACTCATGAAATTTATAAATGTAAGTAAACTATTTTTTTTAATCTAAGTGTATTATTTATTTTCGATTTAGTGACAGTCTGATATGGATAATTTAGGTAGTTGAGAGGTTAGGTCTTTTTTTTTATTTCAAACCCAGAACCCCTGTTATCATTAGTGTTTTATCATTGTTGTTAATTTAAAATTCGCAAATAGATCTGACTCATTATTTGAAGATGATTTTGGCTGGACTTGGAAGTGACATTTTGACACTTCCAAGTGTCAAAATGGCAGTAATATCATAATAATGGATGGAAATGTGGTAACTTTAAGTCTTAATAACTTTTGACTCTTTCGTTTCCTCAAAAAAAGTTTTATATATTTGGACTTCCTATTGCTTCCCCTATCAAAAAATACCAACCACCTACTTATCCAGGAGCAGCGTCCCATATACTAAACTGCAGCCGAGAAATCTATACTAAACGTTATAACGTAAGTAGGGACGAACCCGAGCGGAGCGAGGATGAGTCGCTAGTAACTAAATAAAAATGAATGATATGAGGTGGTCAAAATCAAATGACACAGCACTACTTTTCGTCGCTAATTCTTGGAATGAAGTGCAAGATTTTGCACAATTGGGTTCAAATCCTGTTTCTCTATGGCTTAAGAAAAATAATCTAATCCTTAATGTGGATAAAACCAAATACATGCGCTTCATTCACTCATGTGGATCATATGCATCAAATTGTTATTGTCCACCCATTGAAGAAGTCAATACTATTAAATGCACCGTACATGCCAGCCACTACACCACTGCCTTGGTGGTGTAGTGGCTAGCATGTACGGCTGCACACCCGGAGGTCCTGGGTTCGAGTTCCGGGTCGGGCCAAGTTTAGTTATTGAGTCTTTCTGTATAGAAAGCCTCAGTAATAGCCCGGAGTTGGGAAGTTGACGGTGTTTCACCCCCGTGACTCGGAGAGCACGTAAAGCCGTCGGTCCTGCGCCTTAACTCTCACCGGTCGTGTCGAGTGGTCGTCCCACCGGAGTATGAGAGTGATAGGAATAGAGAGTGCACTTGTGTCTGCGCGTACACTTGAGCACTATAATATCTCCTGCGCAGTTGGTTAATCTCATTGAGATTGGATTGAGCACTATAATATCTCCTGCGTAGTTGGCTAGTCTCAATGAGATTGGCCGCCGTGGCCGGAATCGGTCAGGAGAACATCATCATCACTATTAAATATTTAGGAATTTTGATTGACAAAAATCTTAACTTTAAGCTTTTATAAAAAAATAAAAATCACTCATAACTATACAAAAACCGTCAAAGCCTTTTATCCAACTATTAGATGGTCATCAAAACGATAGTTGAAGATAATAATAAACAAAAGTTAAAACGATGTAGAAGCAAAGACCCTTATAAAAATATATCAGTAAAATTTTCTTTGCATTGATAAAAATATATAATAATAAAATCAATAAAAGATAATATTAGTTAGGAAGAAGTTTGTACGATATTGGAAGAGTAAAATTACTAATTGATAACTATTAGGGCCATACAATATGAAAGTCTAATGATTAGACTTTCATATTAGACTCTAATCAATACACGTAAGTAAATATATTTACATAACATAGCAGGTTCATCGTAGGTACATAGAGAGCAAAACATAACGATCTCTATTATGTATTTAATAAAAAAAACAGTGAGTAACTGTCAGACTGTTTCATACAACATGTGTAAAGCCGAAACTAATTTGGTTTGTAATGAATCACAATTTTTTACTTGTTACATTTCTTTTATTAATCATAACTAAACCTTACAATATTTTTCAGATTGATTTACTTTTCTTAAAAGTAATTTTGAATCATCAATTCGGTCAACATGGAATTGCAGATCTCCTGTCTTCTCATTGTTGCTATAACATTCTATGTTTTCCTTGGTTCCATTTGTTTTTGTGCTTATAACTAATATATTCTCTTTGGGTTTCTTGATATAAGTTTTGATATAAAAATCTACAAATAGTACAAGCATGAAGAGATTTTGTGGAAGAAATACGGTGACTACCCATCGCGGATACGCGCAATCCGGTATAAAAACTAGAGATCCTATATGAACTACACATAAGAAGAATTGAATCTGTAAAGGAAAAATATAAATATTTAGATTTACAGAGAAGAAAAATGTTTAGCATATAAATTTTTGGTCTTTTTTAGGTATTTTTTTTAATCAGATCGTAGAAAATCTTCATAACTCGTTTGCTCCAAGTTGATAAATATTGTTATAAGTGTAAAAATTTAATATGTACCCATTTAACCAGTTATTATTGTGCCTAGTATGTTTACTTAAAAATACAATAAATTAACATTTCTAATATAAGGCATTTTTACGTGTTAAAAGAGAATCAAAGAGTGTAAATCCAGTGTTTTGTGTTAAAGTGGCACGACGATATACGTTCTCAGTGCGTTAAAGGTCATTGCAACGACGACATCCGGGGTCCCTCAAGGATGAAACTTGGGTCCATTATTTTTATTCTATTTGTAAATGACCTGGCTGACTTATTTACTTCTTTGAATGCATGTTTGCTGACGATCTTAAAATAGTAAAGGTTATTAAAAATGAATCGGATATGATTTCGCTACAAGAGGACATTAATAGTTTGATTAGTTGGTGTAAATATAATCGTATGTTTTTGAATTCTTCCAAATGTATCCACGTTACTTTTACTAGAAAGAAAAAACCAATACTTACTTCTTATCATATTTCTGATCAAGTGATAAAAAGTTGTAATACAGTTCGTGATTTGGGAATATATTTTGACAGCCAATTACGATTTGATAAACATATAGGTTCAACCGTAACTATGGCATTTAAATCACTCGGTTTTGTCCTCCGTCAGTCCAGGGAATTAAAAAATTACTTTACCATAATAAAATTATTTAACTGTTTTGTAAGAAGTAAATTGGAATATTGTTGCCAGGTATGGAATCCCTCGTATAAAGTGCATATAGACAGGATTGAAAGAGTTCAAAAGCGGTTTATTAGACACTTAGCATTTCGTTACAAGATCCCACAAGAATTTGAAACATACTACAAAAAACTTAAATATTTTGGAATGCAATCGCTGTATGCTCGTAGATCTATACTAGACCAAAAATTTTTACATAAATTATAATTTAATAACGGTATTGACAGTCTTCATTTATTACATGAGCTATGTATAAATGTACCTCACGCGCCGCCTAGGCACCAACGTGCATATTTTACATATAGTGCTTGTCAAACTAAATTAGGTAGAAACGCGCCGCTGGTTCGTATGTCGATTGCAAATATAACTTGTGTGAAGCCCATGACTCGGACTTAGACATAGGGCATGATAGCCTGTCAGTGTTTACCAAAAAATGTCAGAATTGTTACAGTACGATATAATATTTGTAGTAAATTGCGTATTCTATTCTTAAGGTTCTTTTTTATTATTATTATTGTTATTAAACATTTTTAAGTAAACTCTTTAATATAATGTAAAGTTTTAAGATATTTTTATAAAATATGAAGCATGTTGTGTTCTCCTATAATTGTGAGTGCATATAGGTTAAGTATTGTTAATGTATTAGTGTAAGTTTTTTGTGTACTAACGTTGGAGATCCTAATAAATAAATAAATAAATAAATAAATAAATAACTATTCAATAAATATAGAATCCTGAAAATATCTAGCGAAGAAGACCGATAGAAGATATCGCGTTACATACAGACACATAAAATCACACCAGAATTTAGTATCTCCTCCTCCTTTCTAAAGTCGGTCGATAACAATAAAAATCTAAGAAAATAGATATAACCTCTATTTCTTATTCAACGTGTTGTATCATGATGGTTGTATCACGAAAACAAATATTCAGTGCCCAACTCCGATTCTTGAGTTTCATATGGTATGTTTATATATAATAAATATGAAATTAAATGGTTTATAATTATAACATATAATAGTTTCTATTATATTATAAGGCGGGTTACTCACACACTTGCCGCTGGGGCGATCTAGAGCGCACAGCAGTCGCGGTATTATCGGAAATATCTCTACACACATGCCTGTTATTGAGCGTTCGGGTAGAATGGCCCCAGTATTATCAAAAATCAAAAAATCGGCAGAGAAATTGCCCCGATCATGCTACATACGCGACAACGTGCAGGGCGGCAGGGGCAATCTAGGGACCAAGGATGGTCTCGCGCCCTTGCTGCCTTGCCGCTGGGCCAATCCAGGAAATTGCCCCTGCATGCCTATACGCATCACCATTAAGGTGGCAATTAAGAGTCATCCCTACTTTTACACTCTAGATTGCCACTGCAGCAGGTGTGTGAGTAGCCCGTTAAAGTCTTGATTTATCTACGCTCGGACCTAGCGGCACGATCTGTAGGGTTAAAATTATAACTGCCTACACATGCATGACAGGCTTACACTAAGAAAATATATCTTTTTTATTTTAATCATTAAAGAAGTAAACTGAAAGAAAAAAAGCAAATAAAAAATAATATATTTTGAATTTGCATTTTTTATAAGCGAATAAAAAGGAAAAATATTTTATTAAATCTTCTTTGACTCTACTTTTTCCATAACACTAGTTTAGATTTACGCTAATTAAATGTAAAATCACCCTACACACATTAAAAAAAAAGGATTTTCTCGCAGATTTATTTTGATTATTGTTTTTCGACGTTTCAAATGCTTTACAGCAATGATGGTCACAGGATAATCTAAAAGATTATCTTAGACGTGACCATGATTTATGTAAAGCTTTCGAAATTTCGAGATACAAAAATCTTTTTTTCCTTTCTCTCATTCTCTTTCGCTTCTTTTATTTTTTTCGTATGGAAATCAAAGTTCATATCAATTTAAGTTAACTTACGATTTGTATTTGAGTAACATATTTTTTCCACCTTAAAGAATACTTTACTTGTGGAAAAACAATCGTTAACAAGTAATACGAGTACATAACGACGTGGACGAAGGAGTTAATCAATCCAACGGAAGTGCCATGTCCACCTGAAACAAATAATGTTTTATTACTAAATAAATTAGTAATAATATTTCTTTCTAGCTTTTAGACTCTTATATTTATATCTTTATAAAATACTACGTGTCTTTCACATACTATTACTAAGATTTATTTCAAAGTATTTTCAACCGACTTCCTCAAAAAGGAGGAGGTTCTCAATTCGCCTGTATGTTTGTTACCTCAGAACTACGTCATTTGTGAACCGATTTAGACAATTTTTATTTTGTTTGAAAGTGTATACTTCCAGATTGGTCCGCTTTAAATTTCAAAAAAAAACCTCCCCTAAGGGTGGAAAAATAGCTAATAATCAATTTATCCTACTTCTAATTGTCATATTCACTTGAAACTTGTCAAGTCTGTCTATTCCCGTTGATAGTGTTGTGTTTCTTTATCGTATCTTTCTCTATATGTAGTGTTGTTACTAATGAAAGCGAATTTTAGTTTGTAAGTCTTCGTATAAAAATTGGCATCAAAGTAACTTTAATGGTTTAAGCGAATATTTTAATTAAATACTTTCTTCTCACTTTGCTACTACTATGTCTGCACTAAAAAGGGAAAAATAAAAACTTTTTAACAAAAAAATAAAAACCAACTTTAAAAAAAGCATTAAAAAAAAAGACGTGTGGCACTCGGAGACTGCCGCGGTAAAGCTATTGCATAGCATTTTTATCAACTTATTTAGGTATTAATAGTGTAATTACACACCAAAATAATTATTCATTCAAAAAATTTGAACAAAAATAACGAAATTAAGAGTTTGATCATCGAATTTCGCGCAATGTACATTTATATAGATATAATATCATATATACTTTCTCTGCGCGACATTAATGTGTATTACCTATACATAAAAAAAACAAAGGTACTAAATAGTACACGTTCTTGGTTTAATGGTTTCTGTTATATACATTATGAAGAATGAATTTACACATATAAATATATACATACATATTGAGAATCTAAATTGAGAATTTAAACTATATATGTGTGTGTGTGTGTGTGTGTATATATAAAAGAGGGCTACTTTTAATATCAAAAATTTTGGTTATCTTTATAGCAGTATTATATATAAATTTACAAAACAAAAAATAATACTGCATTTGTGATAATAATAATAAAATAAATGTATATAGAGTACTAACTCATTTTCTTTCACTATTTTTTCGTGACTTTCTTCATTAATAAATGCACTTTGTTTATTCATATTTAAAACACTTTGTACACAAATTATACGAGTACAGATATTCACTGTTGTACATAGATGATAAATACCTATACACCTATATACTTTCTCACAAACAGCTGATTACGGTAGTTTTCCAATACAACCAATGCCACCTAAAGGCGGGTTGCTGAACTAAAGAAACAAGCGTGATATTTCAAAAAATCATTAAAAGTTCTGGTATTTATCGATAGATGGAAAAACTAAAAAGTATCACCGCTGTGCCGGTCGGAGTGGGGGGTGTTAGGTTTTTTTCGTTACGGAATTTCTGGATTCGGTCCCCACGCTCTAGGCCCGCGATAGAAGCTATGCAATAGCTTAAAATAAAAAATAACTGATTGGTAATTTTCATTTACTATACATACGTAATCCAATAATTTTGAAGTCGGTGCCAGCCGATACAAAGCAAAGCACACCGATATACAGTCAACATAAACAGATTTATTATAATTTTGCTGTCATTTTCATGCCAAAAACAGAAAGGTATATAATATTATTTTATTACTAGCGGCTCACCCTCGCTTCGCTCAGGTTCGCCTCTAGAAAAACACTAATGGAGATCTATTAGTTCCCACGGGAACCGTTTATTTTTCCGGGATAAAAAGTAACCTGTTGTTTGACCGGCAATATAAGGTATCAGAATGTTCAAGTTTACTAAATTAGGTGCATAAGTTGTTGTGTACTAAGCTGTATAAGATACTATAGTTTTTTAACTATCCCACGGGAACTCTTTAATTGTCTGAAATGAAAAGTATCTAAGATGTTGACCGGTGATATAAGGTACGACCATGCAAAATTTCATTTAAATCGGTTCAATAGTTTCGGAGATTAGCCCGTACAAACAGACAGACAGAGAAACAAAAAAAAAACAAAAAGATCTGGATTTGTTCTATTTTTCTTCTTACGCGATGTAAGAAGATAACTGACTCGGTTTACAGCATTTTTTTCTATGTATGTGTGACATTCGACTTCTACAGTTTTATTATATTTATAGATAGAATAAATAACGTATAATAAAACAGTAATATATAATAATGAAAATAGTTATAGTGAGTGTACCTTAGGAGATAGACATATACTACTGAGAACTTTTCTATCGACCTTTTTAAGACTTACAATTTTCTTGTACAATGTCTATCTCTTTAGGTTGAGCCAGCGTTAGCCATATAAATTTCTAAGGACAATTCGATAGATTGTTATTGTGTTTTCCCGTGGGAATGAATAGTTCGCCTGTCGTAAAAGGTAAGGTAAATGTTGACACGAGTACTAAGTTATCACTATACAAAATTTAATTAAAATCCGTTCAGTACTTTTTGCGTGAAACGCGCACATCGATTTGACTAAGTTAGTTTTATTATAGGTATAGATAATAATAGATATTGCTCAAGACCTACAATTTTTTAGTATATTGTTTAGTCAGCGGAAGGTTTCAAGGGAGGACTCGATAAAACCAGTTATTGTATCTTCCTGGAGAAAGAAAGATTTTCTTGAAGTAAAAGGTATCCTAAACGTTGACTCGAGTAATAAGTTATCACTTCACCAAATTTCGTTGAAATCGGTTCATTACTTTACGCGTGAAACGCGCATACAAAAACAGACAACAGACATAAAGACAATTTTTTTAATACCTATTGTTTTGGGGTCTATGTTGTGTACATAATACGTTACAAATAAACGAAAACACCTATCCCACGGGACCGTACATTTTTCCGGGATAAAAAGTAAACTAGTTGTTATTCTGATGTATGACCTATATTATTGTAAAATTTCATCAAAATCCAATCAGTAGTTTTTGTGTACTAAGTTGTATAACTTACTATAGTATTATGACTGTCCCACGGGAACCCTTTCATTTTCCGGGATGAAAAGTAGCCAATTTATTATTATTATGTATGAAGTATATTATTGTAAAGTTTCATCAAAATCCAATCGGTGGTTTTTGTGTACTAAGCTGTATAAATTACTATAGTTTTTTGACTATCCCACGGGAACCCTTTAATTTTCCGGGATGAAAAGTAGCCGATTTGTTATTATTATGTATGAACTATATTATTGTAAAGTTTCATCAAAATCCAATTAGTAGTTTTTGTGTCCTAAGCTGTATTCGTTATTATAGTTTTTTAAATATCCCACGGGGAACTTGATTTTCCGGAATAAAAAGTATCTAAGATGTTGCCCGAGGATATAAGATACCACCATGCAAAATTTCATTTAAATCGGTTTAATAGATTCGGAGATTAGCCCGTACAAACAGACAAACAGACAGAGAACAAAAAATTTGAAAAAAATCTGGATTTGTTCTATTTGTCTTCTTACATCCCCCTGACTTGGTTTTAGGATTTTTTTGCTATGTACAGACATTCGACCTGTACTCTTTTATAATAGTATAGATATCGAATTAACGTAAAGTAAAATATAAGGTAATAATAAAGTAATCCGACGTACCAGGCAAATAAGTGATTCCTCCCCAAATGAGCATGACCATACCAGTATGGTGATATACGTGAAGAAAAGATATTTGGCTGAACTTCTTCCGCAAAACAAAGAAGATCTAGAAAAAACAAAGCGAGAATTATTAAATTTACAAAAAATTAACAGCTTAAATTAATTAATATGAACGAGTTTTAGACGCCTAAATACGATAGTACGTTTGTTACCTTAATGCCTAATCCAGTCGTAATAAAAATTGAGTTTGTAGGCTGCCTATAATCTTTTATCTTTGTCCCTCAAGTAATTTTTGTTTTTGTTGTAAATGTAAATAATGTGAATGAATTTCAATGAAACTCCATAAAGAAACTATCTCTTCTTTCATTTTTTAACGTTGGGAAATGGTAATATTCCCACTGGAGGGAATGGGATGGAGACTCATCGACTAAAAAAACGTAAGCACTACCCACAAAGACCCAACGGATCTTTCCTCGTCGTAATGGGACCATTAATGTACCCACGACGCTCTTTCTGACCCACTGAGATCCGAGCAACCCGTATGGTACACCTAGTAGCCCACCTTTCCAATGCGTCTCTAAGCTTCACGCCCAGCTGACAATGTTTTAAGATATGAAAATCTAATAGATAAATATGACGAGGTATGAACTTTAATTATTAAAGTTAAAATATTATACGAGTACATGCATTTGTGATGTTATACAAACAGATTTGCTAGCTTTGCATCGGGTGGCACTGACTTCTCAGATCTCTGATTAGGTATCTATATAGTAAACTTAAGACCAGTTCAGTTATCTTTTACTTTTTTACAATCTATAAATAGGTTTTAAAGGTAAGTTTTCACTGTCTTGAAGTAGTTTTTTTTTTAAATCATGCTTTTTAATCTCAACCTTATTTCAAAGACCAAAAAGTTGACATAGAGTATCAATTATTGCAATAGTAGTGATGACTAACGTAAATGTACAAGATTCTACTTTCAAACGAAGGAAATAGTTTATATTTAAATATTTCTTTTAATATTGATGTGGGTATCAATGTTATTTTTCCTTTGTTCTTTCTTGGTGAATGACATGCTTGACATAAGGTCATTGTATGAGTTGACGTAACATGGAAAAATGTTGAATATAATGTTTATTAAATATTTTTTTGGAAAATCTTATTCAAATAGTAATAATTATTGATATAGAGGCTGATTCCATAGTTTTGATAATTTTTGTCTGTCTGTATGTCTGGGAACGCATCTCGAGAAAACCACTGGACAGATTTTGATGAAATTTGGTATGATGATAGCTTGGTTATTCAAGTCAACATATAGGATACTTTTTACTGCAGGAAAATATCTCATCTCTGAGAAATCGATACTAAGCGTTAAAACATCCCTAGGGCCGAACCCAAGCGGAGCGAGGTTGATTTGCTAGTTAGTATCATAAATTAAAAGTATTAGTTTGTTGTTTTTATCGCAGTGGATTTTATCTTGACTCGCCAAATTATTTCCATTAAATATTTCAATAAATTATTGCGCAATTTATAGTTAAGAAAAACAAAGCGAGGATGGTCTGGTATTGTATCAACAAGTACATATATCTATTATTTAAATACTCTTTTGATACACATTCATTCGGATGCACATTTTACAATTATACAAGTAGGCTAATTAAGCCTTGTCCACGCGCCGTCTACGTCATACTACTATTAATTCAAGATAGTTTTTTAATGTCTGGCTTTTTACTATTGAAAAAGATTTAAGATTATTAATAATAGTTCAATTATAAATAAATAATATTTATTTTAGATTATCCCTAAAAAAGATTAAAGGTTTTACAGCACACAAAATTGAAATAAAAAAACTATTTGTTTTATTGTGTGATGAGTCCAAGAGACCCAATTTTCAATTATAAATCAGGTCAAATATTTTCTTCTTAGTTAAACTCTTACACTGCCCAAGAAATAAACAATGAATAGCCTAAACAGTTAAGTTTAGAAAAGTGAAATTTTCACAAGAGTTCCTTATTTATCGAAGGTGAGCACTAATGAAAATTTATGGTGAAAATTCATTCGATGTGTCTTATTTAAGTAACGAATGTCAATACGTTTCCTCTCAAACTTCTTTCACCAGTAGTTTTTTAAGCATCTCAAGTGATCACATCGTCTAACAAACTGAACTTCGAACTTCCACGGCTTCTTCGACCATTCAGCTTAACTCAAATTAATGACAATTTCATGTTTTAGTTCCGTCTATTCTTCTCTTTTCGTTTATAGCTTTTTGAACCATAATATGGAAGGATCGGTCGTAGTTTGGTCTTGTAAAGAAGAAGTTCATCGATGTATAAACTGCTGCGTATATTGGTGATAGAAAAAGTTATTGCTTTTTCGTGAATACCACGGAGAATAAACTAACCGTAAAAGCAGCTTTCGAGAAATATCGTAAAAGTCTAATCTGAAGTTAACATCATACAGCAAAGAAAATATTTCTGTGCCTCCTGTGATGAGTGATATAAGTCGAGTTGTATCCTTTTTGTGATTTTTACACAGAAATAGTCAGAAAAAAAAAGGATTTTTGTGATCTAACTCACATTTTTCTATCTTACTATAGTTTCGGAGATAATTTTGTGCAAAGTGATATAAGTGGCAGTATTTTTGCAAAAATATCGTGAATATAGATATATTTCAAGTTATAACCCCTATAAGTAATAGCTGCACACACTATTTTTCGTGCTTTCGTGGCATAAGTGCGATTGTATTCATTTTCACATTGTATTTTTTAGTAAATTTATCGTGAATATTGATATTCTTAGAGTTATATCACTTTGAACAGATTTTTCTCAATACTAATTAGGGTACAATTCAACATGTACCAACTAATCCTAATTCTGTACAAATCAACTTTTATGTGTAAACGAATATAAATTGAATTGTATCTAAAACTCAAACCAAATCTAAATCAAAAATGTATGAAAACAAGACGTGCTAAATGATAAAATTGCACCTATAAACTTTTACTTTTGTGGTTTTGGGATTTGGTTTGGTTTGGTTTTGGGATTTATGATGGTATGCAATTTTTTCGCGATTTTGGTGCAGTGATTTTGTATGAACTTGATCCTTCAAAAACAATTCTGATGAGCGCGTGGACTGTCAAGTGGTTAGTCGTCTTTTACGACACCCTCGAAATGTAGGATCGGTGACTTTCAGTATTCTCAATCCGTCACCACACGGACAGTTGCAATTAGCAGTTGTCGAACTGAATCAGATGGTATACCTTCTTACAGACATTTTTATTATCATTTCCGAAATCTCGAATTGCTAAAATTATGGATTTAGCCACTAGTCACATGACGAACATGAGTTCACAAGGCTATGGATATCATGTAAGAGAACTTATTGAAGGGTCGCTGCCAGTAAAACCTATAGAAAGTCCAGGCCCTACTGTCCACGAACACAAAAATTCAGAAAAATCTGCAGAGAGCTTAACAGAAATGGTTCATAACAATAATTAATTTTTTTATTTAATTAAAATTTGAACCTTTCAGATTCATCCAGCGATGGTGATTTTGTGACGCACGACATGGCCACGCCACCTCAGAAGATGCTCTTCAACTGAACTTGACTGTGACGTGAAGCTCAGGAGTGTTTTGAGATAGCGCTGCCCAGCAATCGCCTCCATATAAAAGGACTGGTCGGATGATGCTCTTGTTTATCTGTTCCTTGAACTTGGGCGGTATTCTGCGATCATAAACCACACTTGTGACCTCCAGCTTTCCTTATACAGGCTTAAACGTCGTGATCTTTGCTTCGTCGTGATCGATGCTTTCTGAATTTCTTCGACTTAACGGCTGGTTCAAGCCCTATGTGGATGGTGCTGGAGTCCGGACTCCCGCAAGCCATATACTCGGTCTTCGCGACATTTAGTTTGACACCGCCGTTCTCAAGCGTACCCTTCCATAGGTTCACCCTACGCTCCAGCTCTACATGTTTCTTATTAACGAGCGCTATATCATCGGCATACATCATCAGCCATGGAGACTGGTCTTGGATGCATGCCGAGACAACATCTACTACGTTGAATAAGAACGAACAGTTCTGACCACGGAACCACCGCCTTTTTATCTAACTTTTGTGAAACTATATTAGTTCCCATTGAGAATAGTTAAGTTACATTCGTATTCTAAAATGATGGTGATGAGATCTCAATTTACCGTTTTTAAGAATTTTGATAAAACTGTGCCTTATTTGTAAGTGAATTATTGATTTTGAAGAAGTTTAATAAACGATGATTGTTTTTCTAAAACTTGTATTTATTTACACAATAAATATGCATTTTAGTGAGGGGTATAACTTGAGTTGTATTATTTAACAGATATTTCAAAAATCCAATATTTTAGCAAAGTGGTATAATTCAGCTAAAATATGAAAATAGGGGACTGATAAGTAAAAAATCTCATCTTTGGGGTAGTATATTTATCATTTGTTTGAGCAACATTGCGCTAGGAACATATTCCAATGAGTTATTAGATATTTTTACTTCATCTATATCAATTTACACAACGACAACTTATGGTTAATGGTTGGCTTATGGTTACAAACTTAGGTGCAACATAATTTAACTGTACTTGTACCATTTATCACGTAATTTTAGCATGTATTAGAAATAAAAAAAGGTTCAACTCACAAATTTTTCTATAATTACTTTAAAACTATAATATTTACCGGAAAAATTTAAATGCACAGTGAAAGTAAATGTTTTTATCTACAAAATAAGGTACTTAAGTTTAACCTAGCCCACTTAGAACGTGAACTAGAATTTTTTAAATCTTGTTTTCGCTCTCCTGTAAAATGTAGATTTTTGACTTGTATCACTTGTCACAGGAGGCAGAGTTTTTTTTACACTTACCGTGTCTATAAGATCCAATAATTTCGATATATAATATAAGTAGGTAATGTTCACCGCGTTCAAAGCATCTTTGCTTTCCGAATAGTCGATAGGCTCACAGAATAACTTGTACTGTCCCCACGCCTTAGTTGCCTGGAATTTTGAAATAGTGTATAATCTTAATAAACGAAAAAGATATTTACATTAATGTGCCGATGTCGAAAAACAGAAATCACTTTGTTAGACAGATGAAATACCTATGCCCAATATAAGATATATTTGATTGTAGATGTAATCGAACCTACTATTTCCGCTACAGCAACAGTACAATAAGTTCCTCTGTTTGTGGCATCACTTTGTAAATTTCGATTAGAATTATTAGCAAATCTAACAAAATAATCATAGAGAATTACTTACTTCTACAAATATATATGCGCACAAGAAGACCTGTAGTATATTATACGCTATCATCAATTTGTTTACATTGAAAGGCGCCCGATTCTTCATCCATTTAGGTCCCAATTTAAGAACGAAAAATAAGTAGAGGCCAAGCAGAATAAGTCCCTCGTATGGTTTTGCGACGAGAAACCAAGAGTTTGTTCTTGGGTCTGCAAATATATACACATTTATGAAATACAATTGACAATACAAAGTATAGTATTAATTGTGACCCAAATCAGTGTGTGTCATATAATTTAAGAAGGATTAAGTATTCAATCTCTCTACAGTCACTAGTTACTGGAGACTTATTTGAACTCAAACGTGTGTTTACCCTGTCGTGAGGGTTCAGTAGCGTTCGGCAATACAGTCGAGCGCGAAGCCAAGAAACGAACTGGGAGGTGGCCCACTTTGGTGGGTGGTGTACTATCCGGGTTGTTCCTGGTACTTCTCTGATAGCAGAGTGATCTGGTGGAGCAATCCCATGGTTATTGTGACCTGCTTCAGCAGACCTGCCGTCGGGGCGTCTGGTTGAGTGTGTAAGCGATCCTACGACGTTCCATTAGACAGGGGAAGTTCCGTTGAGTTTTAGTGGGTACTGGCTTTACCGGTGAGTCCCACATAACCACCTGTAATTATGCAGGTGGTATGCTTAAATGCATTTCTCAACGTTAAGAAAAGGCTAATTTGAACTTATTTGAATTACATAATTTACATTATATAACGCGTGTTGAAGTTGGGATAGCTGAACGAAAATCACAAGTCCTCAAGTCTTATCTTATTTTCTTAATGATCTTTTCACTTATATATGTATGTTTTTACATCGGGCAAGATAGAAATAGAAGGCAAGAGTGGGAAAAACGAGAGTTAACATTCAATTCTATAGACTTTTATACAATTTCAAAGTTTATTGTAAACAATTCATATTTACAATTCTCATCTATTTTAAATAAGAATAAATTTATCATATATGTATGTGGAAGATAGTTAAGAGCAACACAGCCAGAGAACTCAAAAAAAGCAAAATTTACTTAAAAATACTTTTATTCTAAATTTTACAATTATTATGTCTAACACTACTCGCAATCGTTCCTGTTGGGTCAGCGATCCACCTGTAGCTATGTGCTATAACTCCTCCACCCCGAGAACAGCAACTATTTTAAAACAGTGTGGTAAAATGTTTCTGGAAATTGCTCCTGGATGCTGTCAGATTTTTCAGCTGATTGGTTTTGTTGATTTCTTCCTTTATTACTTTCCTCTATAGATTTAGTTTCATGATGGCGTGCATTTCTATATCGATGTGTAATAATCATTCTAGTAATGATTGTAAGTGCACTTAATAATATGATGTAGAAAGGAATGGTAGTATGATAAAGTGAAGACGCTTCCTTCTCCGTTGACAAAGTTGGTTGCAACATAACTTTACTCTGTATAGAATGCAGGTTCTTTAAATCAATAGATTTTAATTTTATATGATTTGTACTCTTAAATTGCTGGTCCTTGTACTTTATATCCATAATTTTAAAAGGTTGTCCCGCTACTTTATCCTTGGTATTACTGATAACAATTTCTCCCGTCCTTAAGATGCAATTTACAGGAAGTGTGGCCAGAAAGCTTCCATTTAATGTGATGAATTCTTCCCGTCCGCATATAATGTGTACTTTCGTAGGGTGTGGAAACGATATTATGTAGTGTCGCCCATCTAATTCCTCCAAAGCTTCTTGTGATAGGGTTAATGTAGTCATCTCGCAATTTGATCCAAAGTTTGGTTGTGAATCAGAGTCTGAATGCAGTCCCAAGAGGTTCGGAGTATGTTGTTCTTATTTTTGCAAAGATACCATTGGTTATTGAACTTCGGGCATTCTGCCTCTTTGTACATAAATGTATGCCTGTTGGTAAGTATATAAGGAGTGGAAGGAAAAAGAGTTTGCATCTTCCTATTTGGGAAAACAGCTAACTTATACATGTAAAAAGATCCAGAGGAAACTAATGGTAGCTTGAAGACCATAACTATTTGCCTACCATAATAGTAATAGCCTGGCTTTATTATATCATAATATTGTCTTAGTTCTAAATCTATAACCTGTTCTTTCAGATAAATTTCTCGAAGTTTAATGAGCATTTTATCAATTTCATTTATACTGAACATTGAATGATGCATACTAGAGGATTTAATAAATGCTAATGAGTTTTCTACTTCTATTAGTTTTTCTAATATATCGTTTACATTTTCCGTTATTATCGTGAGAAGTTGAGCGAATTTAGCATACTTAATTAAACTTGTACTCCTATAACTATCTTTATCTAACAATAAAAATAACATAGTGTTAAGCTTACCCTGATTCTCTACTAACTGTGCGGTAATATCAGTCTGACGGTTCATCCACTCCTTACTGATACTAATATGATTATTAAATTCGGAAATAACTTTAGATTGCGACTCCTCTAAAAATTTTATGGCATTATTGTATTTAATTGCGTCTGTATAATCTAAATTTCCCGACATGCTTTTTATTATAGATCCTAATCCATCCACGAGACCTCGTTTTGCATGATTTGGCTCCAGTGTTTTTAACTGCATACTAACTTTGTCCAATTTAGTGTAAAAATAATTGATTTGCAATTCATATAGAATAAAAGTATCATTTTCTAAAGATGTTTTAATATCGAGCAATTGTGTTTGTAAGGTCAAAATTGTGTTTTCTATATTATCAAGTTGTATATATTTTAAAAAGGAATGATAATGAGTGTCTAGTCTTGTCAGTTCCAATTTGAAAGGTAGTAATCCGGGTCCATCTCCTAAGCTCTCAAGCTGTACAGTCTGAGTCGCTGTCAGTCGAACTGTCAGGGACAGAATTGAGATGACCAGGGGAGGTATCATGTGCATTTCAGTTTTTTCTGGTATCAATGTTCGGATACACCTCGGGCTGCTGCTTCTTGGTTCATCCTGATACTCCGAAACAGTAGTCGATGTTAGATTACTTATCGTCTCTTTTGAGTATCCTACCGACTGCGTCAGTTAAGAGCAACACTGCCAGAGAACTCAAAAAAAAAAAAAATTACTTAAAAATACTTTTATTCTAAGCTATATTTAAATTTTACAATTATTATGTCTAACGCTTCTCGATGTAACAATTAGAATGATGGAATTTATAAATTTATTTCTCACGTGAAATTGAACATTCAAAAGTGTAACGTTACAATGCCGCGAATGCTAACTCGACGCCTCGTGTCGCAATCGTTGCTGTTAGGTCAGCGATCCACCTGTAGCTATGTGCTATAACTAGATAAAAAATATTTAGTTTATTTTTATTTTTTGCATACACCACCGCGCACCGCCTGCATATTTTCATAGAAATGTCATTTGTTGTTATTAGTGACTCCCACACTATGGCGATCGGTTAATAACACCCTTGTTAAACTGTCGACAGATTAAATGTTGTTCGTTCGGTTGTGAACACGGCACTTTGCTTACAAGTGCTCTCAGTCAGTCTCAGTATCATTATTCCAATATTGTAATAATTATGATATTTTTATTTTAAAATATGAAGTATTACTTTAAAGTACTTTTAATATTTCCAATTATTTGCAACATTATTTGATAATTGCTTTGTTGCCTTGTTACGAACTATTTTGGATATTTTGGATGATTGTAGATGTTATTAAATGTTTCTTTTTTATTGAAATTATTGTTATTGAATATTTTAATAATGTAAATTAATATTATTATAATAAAATGTATATTTTAAATAGTATTCTATTCGCTTTCTATCAATCTATGTGGAAAAATTTATATAGGGTCATTTTTAATTTACTGAAGACCTTTTGGGAATATACTATTTACATCATAACAACAACATCGCTAATAAAAAAATATATATTGGCCCATGGAGTACTAAGCACTTTTTAAAAGATCGACTTTTTAGAAGAAGTATCACCTCTACGGTGATAGAAGAGCTGGCTCATATTTGCCAAAAGAATCGGCATTGCCATTCAACGGGGGAATGTGGCCATCATTCTTGCCACTATTCCACGTGACATGACTTGTACAGTAATATTATGTATGTACATTTACTTTGTATATGATTAAGTATATTTGTAATTTTTTTTATTATACATAATGTCCTAAACTACTTAGATGATATTATGTATTAAATGCTCTAGTTCCTGGGCGACCGAGCTTCGCCCGACGTTTCGTTTTTTTCTGTAAAATCGTTTTAATATTCACTTGACCACGGCCAACTCCTATATTTATTCAGATTTTGTTATTTTTTTAAATGTACGTAATCTAGACTTTTGCACTGTTATAGTCCATAATATATGTACATATACAATAGGTTTTTTAGAACCGTCATATATCGGCATAGCGCTTTAAGTGAAATACCCGATTATCACATTAATTTATTAATGTATTAAAATAATTTAAATTTACAATAATGAAATAACACACCGGACCATTACTCGCACTCTCATGCCTTGTCAATATGACAGTTGTGTCACATACATTTTTGATAATAATAAAAAAGAATGTTGCCATCAATGCCATCGTATTTATATAAATCAAATTAATAAATAATTATTATTTAACATATTATTATGGCCTCCTTAATTCATTTATTGTAATTCATTATAATAAATACAGATATTTTAAATAAAAAGATGTTAAAAATATGATAACTATGCTATCAGTTATTTTTTACTTTTTAGTGCTTTTGTTTGAAGGCGGTTTTTATTTTTTTTTGTTAAAAAGTTTTTATTTAGTTTCTTATTCTTCAACCGATGTAGAACGACATTACATGTTTCCTAAGCTTATTACTTCAAAGTTATCGTTAGATGACATTTTGGCTTAAAACTTTTAATATTTGAAATATTGGGAATATGTGAATAATATGCTATCTTACCTGTCCAGTCGTAGAAAACAATATTGTACGCTTTTATAGCTTTTCTTATAATCTCCGCCATTTTTTTTAAGTTTCCTCTACTATTTACTTAGCATTTAAGTCAATGTATTAGAAATTCCCTTATAAATTATTGGCACCAAGAAGAATAGTATAAGAATATTAACTAAAAAAAAAGAACCTCCTATTGCGGGAAATACTATTATACTAAGCGAGCTCGAAATATGTCTAATTGTTAAGCGCATATATTTAAATTTAATGAACTTCTGTTACTTTTCATATAAACTCTATAAACACTATGAATTATAATTTATTAAAATGCGTTTCTTTTTCTTCATAGCTCATGCGTGTCTTTAGGGTTTCGTAGCTAAATGGCTAAAATGGAGCCCTTATAATTTAGACATAGGGGAATTTCATATGAAGCGGACAGGGAAAAAAAGTGAGGTTAGGAAATTTGTTCATATGCGGATTATTTATGCCTCTAGTAGGTATAAAAGTGGATATGTAATATTTTTTTCTACGATGTTTATTTTTAAAATTATGAGCCTTTGAAAAATAATCATAATCCAAATTTCGATGTTTTAGATTTAGTTTTTCGAATGGGGAAAAAATACAAACAACTATTAAACTTGGCGTTTTGTGTAGGTTTTTAGATGTTCTTTTTAATAAAGAAATAATTTTTTGAAATTTAAAAAAAAATAATGTACAAAACCGGAAGTGAAAATTTCAAAACAATTTTTTGATCACTTCGACCTTTTTTTCATTTTTTTTACACCCAAATATAACCTATAGTATTATTAAAAAACACTAAAAGTTTCATAGTGGAATCTCTATAACTTAGAAAGATGGGTAAATTAATGTACATGCATGTCCCTCTGAGCGTGATGCTTCATGCTAATTTACGTCAGTTACTTGGCGAAATTTGAAGTGTAATCACATGTATCATTGTATTCAAGCGAGTTTAAGTTCTGAAAACTTAGGGTTTATTACTTGCTACTGTAACTTTCATATGAAAAGCCCCCATATCCATCTGTTCGCACGTCACAACCAATTTACTTGAAGACTATTGGAGCTACATTGCTAAAATTTTATAGGTAGCTAGGTGTCTCCGTTGAGTAATTTTTGAGGTATGGGATGTTTTCCGTTACACGCATTCGGCCGCAAAATTAAATTTGCTTCTCAAAATAATAATGAAAAAATCTATACATATAATAAAATTGTAACTAAGTCGAATATGTACATTAAATATTTTTCTGAAAAATCTTATTGAAATAGACATTATTATCGCTACAGAGGCTGAACCTCTAGTTTTTAGAATTTTGTCTGTCTGTATGTCTGTCTGTCTGTAGCCGCATTACGGAAAAAACCCTGGATATATTTTGATAAAATTGGGTATAATGATAGCCGGTTATCCGGGTCAACATAATATAGAATACTTTTTACTGCGGGAAAAGATCTTGTCTCTGAGGAATCTATACTAAACGTAAAAATGTAACTAGGGACGAACCCGAGTGGAGCGAGGCTGAGTCGCTAGTCAATCATAAACTTATTTACTCAATAAAATGAACATCGTAGATGAGTAACTATTTTATTTTATTTTTGATGTAACAAAGTATAATAAATATTAAAAAAAAAATTTATGCTACGGAACCAACGGAATTCTAGTAATTTTCTAGCAATTTCTTTAATATAACTTTGTAAATACATGCTCATTTTAATAAAAAAATAAACAATATAATATGAAAATGAAAATATATCTTAGCATTGTTACATCATCAGTCTATGTGTATGCATGGTATTCCAATTTATTTTTTAGTTATCTATGAGCGATATCGACATATATATCTACATACATACCTATAGCTTTTCAGAAGAGACAGTGTACAATACAGGACATTAGTTTTGTTTGGCATAATTCTACTAATATTATAAATGCGAAAGTTTGTTAGGATGTATTTATGTATGTCTGGATGTAAAGATGTATGGATGTTTGTTACTCTTTCACACAAAAACTACTGAATGGATTTTAATGAAACTTTCTAATAATATAGCTCATACATTAGAATAATACGCAGGCTACTTTTTATCCCGGAAAAATGTATGGTCCCGTGGGATAGCTTTGCTTTATTTTAGCTAGGATGAAATAAGAATAAAAGTCACCACTTAAAATATATACGAGTAAATACAGCCATAATACAAAACCACTATATTCACAACTATCGTTCTATTTATATATTTTATGTAAAATATTTTAAACGAATTACGTTTTCTTGTTTACATTTATATGTATTTTGAGTTTCATTTCCTGAATTATTTATATTTATACTAATAAACTATGGATATAGAAGGTAATAATAACCAAGTGGTAACGCGATCGCTTTGAAAACCACTTCTTCCTGAGTTCTTCACCTGCTTCAGTTGTTGTTGCTTATATATCGCTCTCAGCCATCGCCTCTCGCCATCTCTGGACACACGGTCAGATGTACCTACTACTCTGACGCGGAGGAAGACGCCATTGGCAGATTTTGCGGCGGTTGAACTAAGCAACACCCAGGGCTATCATAGATACAATCTAAAAATGGAAATCTCTCATAGAGACATCGAGGCGATAAAGATCCTGGCAAACTTTACTTACCAGGCAAGCACCACACCACCAGCAGAAGAAACACCATCAAGCTCAACCAATGATTCTTAAAGTCCTTTCTTCTTTTATTAAATAACCCCACGTGTAACACACTAACCTCATTTGGGTGGACTCTTAAAGTCCACCCGATCCCATATACATAATATGAATTGATTTTCATTGTTATTTTTAAAGTGAAAACTTCTTATAGGCAGGTTTGAATGGGAAGTAAATTCATGTAAGTCGTCATCAACATGATCACGTCACGTGTTAATGCTAACACTCAAGGGTGTTGATATATGTCAAAACCAGATAAATGTAAACAATTTAAATTTACAAATTTTAATTTAAGATCAAACAATTAATTTGAATAAACAAAAATAACAACTGTTTCTTTATAGTTTTAAGTTTACACTTCTGTCGGCAATCCTCATGACTGCTTTTTTTAATAAATAGGTTAGGTTAACGGTATGTAAAGAAAAGGTGCTTATAAAATTACAAATAAACTAACAAAACGCGTGGCTTCGCTTGCGCTAAAACTACAATAAAAACTTAAAAAAAAACTTCAAAAAAAGCACTAAAAAGTAAAAAATAACTGATTGGTAGTTTTCATTTACTATACATACCTAATCAAATATTTTCGAATTCAGTGTGCTTTGCTTTGTATCGGCTGGCAGAGAGTCAGTGGAACGAACAATTAATGTAACACGTGTCACCCCTGACACGTAAGCGGTAACTTTTAACAGTGGCGTCAAAAGGATTCGCAATTTCTTGTATTTAATTCTTTTCACTCTACTGCGGCAAATCCCAAAGTAGGGTTATGTATTTAACCTGTATGTAAAGTATATAATTTTGTATGTATTATGTATGTATTCCGATCTTATGTTCCGTAATTACTAAACGGCTTAATCGATTTTGAAGATTTATATGTCGTTCGCTATTCGTCTTCATGGATATAAATAAAATTTGAAAAGACAGATTTCAGAAGCCACTTTGCATTTCTTGATAAAAAAATATATTTACATGCACGTAGTATGACTCGCACAAAACACGTTTATCATTAAGCCCCACATATATCGTCCCACTGTCGCGCTTCTCAGTCGAATTGAAAAAAGTGCTGTCTGTCCACTACGCTGGCGAAACTCTTACGAAAGTTAATTAGATTCTCCCAGATATGGGTTCCTCATGATATTTTCCTTCACTGTAAGGCGAGAAGTAATCATGTATAAAACAATGAGCACATGAAAATATCAGAGGTTGCAAGGTATCACGGAATCTAAACCCGCTTCACTTAGTTTTCCAAGCAAGCTCATAAACACTTTTTTTTAACGTTGGAAAATGCATTTACGCACGACGTGTGGGACTCACCGGCGTAATACATCCAGTACTACCCACTAAAACCCAACAAAACCTTCCCCCGTCTTAATGGGGCGACGCGGGATCGCGTACGCATTCAACTACGACGCCCCGACGGCATGTCTGCCAAAGCAGACCACCACAACCATGAGGTTGCTCCAAGGTCCACTCTGCTATCAGAGAAGTACCAGGAGCAACCCGCAAGGTACACCACCCCCCGAAGAGGGCCACCTCCCACCGCCCACCGAAGTGGGCAACCTCCCTGTGCGTTTCTTAGCTTCGCGCCCGGTTGGATTGCCGGGCACTACTGAGCCCCCCCACCACGACAAGGTGAACGCACGTTGGGGGGGGGAAGCTCATAAACACTGGACTACCAGTGACAACCTTACTTGATTCTATTAATGACTAGTACCTGGGAAACCGAGCTTTGCTAGGAGTTTTTGGCCAAAAGTACGATTTTCTTTTTTTTTTTAACAAAAATTTGGATAAATACAAAAAAAAACTGGGATTTGAACCCGGACAACTATGATAATCAACCTTGGCCGCTTGACCACGATGCTTATGCCCGAGCATACGAAATTAGCGACCATATTTTGCGTGCGTAAGAAAACCGCATGAAAACTCGAAAACACGCGTTTTCCCAGACATAAGACTAATCTAGATCGATTTATCGCCCCCGAAATCCCCTGTACACTAAATTTCATGAAAATCGTTTGAACCGTTTCCGAGATTCAGATTATATATATATATACGAGCAATTCTTGTGTGTATATATATATATATATAAGACGGAGGAGGATTTAGTTACCTTTTTCTGTTATGAAACCTTATTATTGTTAAAGTCACTATGTTCTTTAATTTACTTTTTATTGCTTTTAAAGTGATTTTAAATTTAGAGCAGAGATTTAGTCTCGAGCGGGGTCGAGACGCCATCACGACATTCTTTGCAGATACGTGGTTTAGTAAAGACGGTTGATCATGGTGTAGCTTATAGTTTTGCTTTGATATTGTAGTTGGAAGTCGATGATCGGTGACTGTGAACCCGCTAGCTCTAAATAATTAGAATTACCGTTTCAAGTTTATAACATTGTGACTTCCCTGATTAAATTGTGTATTGAGCACTGAATACTTTATTATTTGAGCCCTGATAACGCCCACAAGATGAGTAACCACTAAAGATGATGTTCGTAGTATATGGATAACACGACACGACGTTCGTTTATATATATACACAAGAATTGCTCGTTTAAAGATTATTATAAGATAACCTATATCTTAATAATCGATAATCGATAAGCTTCTATATCTAGAAGATGTATCAGTAATTTAGCTATGTGCTTATCAATAGCTAATCCCGCCAAGTTTCTTTCGGCAGTTCTTTTCAGAACTGTAGCATTTGCCTTTCGTAACTACTGAAGATACGTGTTGGGTTATCAGATCAGTATTGCGTTGCTTGGCAACCTCAGATACAAAATTCTCATTCTATTGAATTTAAAATCACTGTCTTTAACAAATTAAAAAAGCGCCTGACTGTTTCTAAACTAACAACTAACTAACATTTTGTCTATATTGCTTATATATTAAGTAACTTTAAAAAATAAAAATGTACAAACATCTACCTACTTCATAACAAAAGCAATGTGTCAATTTCAAACCAATACATTAAAAACTAAGCGTGAATCAACAACTATGTCCAAATATTCAAACATATTCACAAACCTAAATTTTACTAAATATAGGATAATATAAAAAATGTCGCTTTATTGGAACGAAGTTCCTTATCGCGCGTTACACGCATCGAGCTGATGGGAGCTAGACCGATAACAAAAAAATAAAAACCGACTTTAAACAAAAGCACTAAAAAGTAAAAAATAACTGATTGGTAGTTTTCATTTACTATACATACCTAATCAAATATTTTCGAAGTCGGTGTGCTTTGCTTTGTATGGGCTGGCACCGATTTCGAAAATATCACAATTCAAAAAATCACACTTTATTATTTGACGAATTTAGATCTGTATTTTACACACCTTTAGTACCGTGTACCTGCCAAAGCCACCATAGCCTGAACTTCATAATGGTCCATCGTTCTTATCTGTGTTGGGAGCATGCGCTGACAAAGTTTCAGCCTTTACAAAATGACCAAGGTCTGGCGTTCACGGGCTCTTCCTCTATAATATGAAGTTAGTGAAACTGTTTCTTCATTGAAGATACAACAAAAACTTTTGCAATAATAATCTCGAAATACAAATCGGCGAAATAATTGTGAACGCTATTGTTATTTTGTTCTCGTAAAAATCCGCTTAGGCTCGGTGACTAACATGTTCTTAGTTAATAGTAGGTACTAATAATGACTGAGCAAAGAAATATCTTGCTATTCTATTCTGTCATTAGAGCAAGCTGACATTAGACAGTGATAACACATATTATACATAATAACCAGAATAGAATGCCAAGTGATATTATTTTCCGTTAATTTAGTCTGTATTATTCGTTAAATAATATTGTAAAACGGTAATGCAATACTCACAATCTGTTAAAAGTAACGAGAATAAAATGATAAGTGTTATTAGTAAATAAAACTAGCAACAAAATTTTAGTAACCTTTTAAATTTTAAATATCTTTAGTTCGGATAACCTTAGTAAAACATATATTAAAACATTATAAAAGAAAAAAAATAGCGATCATTGAGCTTTTTTTATCTCTCAACATCTATTGCTTTAGAAAGTTAAAGTCAAAAATAGGTTTTTATTCTCCGGGGGCGGCGATATTATCATGTTATACACCTGAACCTTCCTTATGACTCCGTCTACTGGTGAATACCGTATGAAAAGCCTCTCGGTATTTTCGAGATTATCGCATTCAGACAGGCAGACGCGGCTAGGAGACTTTATTTTATAATATGTAATGATAATGCAACTAACGTTCACGTACATAAATTTCTAAATAATTAAGGTCTTATGGGATCATAAAAAACATAGTTAAACATGCTAACGAAATATATATTTTAATGATAAATATGTATAAATTTTTTGATGTGATAAAAATGATTGTAGTATTTTGAATTCATGTAGTAGATACTTCATTGTTTCTTGATATTATTTGAAGATTTCCTTTTTTGTTTGGGATTTACATATGTGTCGTAATAGAATTGTGCAAACTTAATAAAGAAGAAAACACTATATAATATACCTAAGAATTTAAAGAAAACAGGATAGTTGCATTCATAAAACATGCTGTTAATATTATGCATTGCAATTAAAACAAACTGGACCTGCAACAAAAACTATTTATTAATTTTATATCCTTAAACTATTTTATATGTTACTTATACAATTGTATATATCTATTAATATATAATAAATCAACGGGCTTCTAAATTAAAACTTGGTTTATTAATATTTTATTTGTAACACGCTCCATTTAAAACCAAGTAATGCAAATTGTTGGATTCCATATCCCAAATCATACGGAGAACAATTATGTTCGCCTCGTATTAACGAGGAAGGAAAATACAGAGAAAAAACTAGCATATCTGAGAGAATTCACATTTGGGATGGGATATGCCCTGATAACCATTAAAGGAAGAGATGTGTCTCACAGTGGAATACGTCCAATTAAAATCTGTTCAGATACATCATAATATATACCTACCTATTTATCATCTACACTCTACACGGGCAAATAGATTAAAAAAATTAAAATTGTAAACGGGGCTTTTATTACACACAGCCTTTGAGATGTGATAGAAACCAAGCGTAGAAGCGATGAATCCTCTTTAACACAAACTATTCAAAAAATATTCAATAGACATTTTACCTTGACTTAAAATGAAATAACAGAAATGTACTCCCCTTTTTAAACCATCATTTATATTAATGAAACTAGCGACTCACCTTCGCTTCGCTCGGTTTCGTCCCTAGCTTGATTCCCCATACAAACTTTTATCCCCATTTTCACTCCCATAAATGATGGTTTCCAGGATAAAAAGTATCCTATATCCTTTTTAGGGTCTCAAACTATCTTCTTACCAAATTTCATCTAATCAGTTCTGTAGATCCAGAAATTACCTCCTACAACGTCACAAACTCACAATCTCACAAACTTTACTTGTTTAATCCCTCCACTACCGCGGACACGCTAGCGTTATAGTTAACAATAGATTTCTTAGAAATTTCATTAATTTCTTAGAAATTTACCCAGACGATCATTAATATTAGTATAGATTAATCAAAACCGTTATGTACATACATTCATAAAAATCTATTTTTTGCCCATCATCATCACCATACTGAAAACGTTATATTTCAACAATAATAAATAGAGTGTACCCTGAAAAATGCTAATACAGTCTAAGTTACAATAATTGCTTAGAAGTTACAAAAATATTATAATAAAATTATACGTACAAGTTGAATAATAGTTACATATTTTTTCCACCAGACGTATTTTTTATATCTGTTACCAAGCCCAGAGATCAGATAGTAGAAGTACATAATCACGTGGACGATACTATTGAGAAGTCCAATTATAACACACTGGCCACCTGGAAAGTTAGTAAGTTAAGCATGTTACTTAATATAATAATAATAATAATCATCATAAGCCTGTACATCATAAGCCTGTACTGTATTTGACGTTATTGCCATATTACTTCGCAAAGCACTCGTCTGGTATGTACTAATTTTGTCATTACTTATAGCTGTTTCTTTTATAAAATTCATTTTGTTTTGAATAGACTCATAAGGAATGTCGAAAGAATCCTCTATATCTCGATTATCCGAACATGCTGTATCACTTTTAGAATAATGTTTGGGTGTATGTTGAATTTCGCACTCAGACAATGTCGATGCTGAATTTTTTTTATCAAGAACAGTTTTAACACTATTGGTATCTGACTCAATGTCGTCGATCGGAAAAAACTGTGACTTAAAAACATCTAACTGCTCACTAGTAACATAATCCTCTCGTATTTTTTTAATGTCTTGTTGCATTATCAATAAATCTTTTAAAATTTTTGTTACGTCGACGTGATCAAACAAAATGGGTGGTAACTTATGCAAATCACGTGCAGCAAATATTGGCATATCGTCTGGATCTGTGCTCTTTAGCACACCAATAATGTCATCGATATCCCGACGAGCTTTTCCATCTCCTTTACGTACTTTCTTTTTTCCTGCCTTTGTTAAAAACTCGAATAATAATTTTTTTGCATTTGCAATTTCACTTTTGGAAAAAGAAGTAACACAAATACGTCCTAAGCTTACTTCATCTATAACATCAATTTTATTGCTAACGTATGCAAGTATCTCGTTTATTATAATATTACAACTTGAACATTTCACTAATTTAGTTGCCATTTTCAATTACACATGCCACAAATTATTAAATATAATATTATAATAAATAATAATTATTGGACTGAATGTAGGCATCTCCTTGCTTTAAGCTCCTCACACATAGCCCCGATAATTCCACCAACAAATGTTTAGCTACTTCAAGTGCCTGAGAAATATTTCGCTAGTTTCTTAAAACGTTCCTATAATTAATAAATTACAATAAAAATCACAGTTTGTCCGAATATTGTTCGTCTGCGTTCCTGAACTGTTCATCCAATTATGATAAGAATTTGGTGAGTTGTTTTGCACACGGCCCCGAAGATTTCGGGCCCAACAAATATCTTTGTAATAACCCCAGGGAACCCTGAGTGAAGTGAAAGTATATTGCTAGTAAATTATTATAAAATCTATATATTTAGGACAATGTGTTATTAAAATAATATTAAAGTTTAACTACTATCCCATGAAATTGTTATTTTATTCTTCATTACCTAGTTCAGGACATGGCTTATTTATGTGCAGAGTTTTATCACAAACACATCCTTATTAAATTTCACACGTATTTTAATTATCTATTATTGTAGGGTATTGTGGGTATTTTAATTATTTATTCTTACCGGGGTAATAAGTGGTTCCAAACCATCCAGCTGTTACCATTAAGATGTGATGGTGCAAATGTAAGTTGCTAATTTGCCTAAATGACTTTCTAAGTACAAAGAATACTGTATCTAGTAATTCTGATACTTTTAACATGTAACCTACCCACATGCCGTCAGCAACCTTAAAAACAAAGAAAAATATTGATTCTCCGTAAAATAATTCTATATATGTAAAATAAAAATATAATATTAATTATCATATACACTTCTTATATAATTTCTTATCTTCGAATCACTTTCAACATGATTACGAAGGAGAGCATCGTGAGGAAACCTGCATGTCCGAAAGTACCTAGCCAGTTTTTGCAAGACATGTGCAGTCCGTCAGCCCGCACTTGGCCTGCGTGGTTGACTATGGCCTAACCCCGTCGTATTGAAGAGAAGCTCGCGGCCAGCAGTGAGACGTTAAGCATGTGGAGTTGAATACACATCATTTTTGTGTGTTACAAAAATAACCCAGCCTTACGAGTTTTCACACGCGAATATTCTATCGAAGTGAGGAAGTCTTTTTTGACAGTTTTTTATTCACTTTGGCATAGCAGCCTGATGTGAAAAAGGGGTTCAGAAATAATAATTAATTTTTTTGTTGTAGTCTTATGTTCCCGACGTTTCGAATATTTGAGTTCAAACATGGTAACAAGAGAGACTATAGTTTTTGATCTCTCTTAATTTACAGTTATAGACCGCGTCTGCCCACAAAAATTATACAATATTTTGTAAGAAAAGAGAAATGACGTCAAAGACGCTAAAAATTTAAAAGATATAACTAAATCTATTAAGTGTATTTTAACTATAGCAACATTAATACTCACCCATGTCGCTGTATCCTCATCACTTTCAAGTCCTTTGCAGCGCATGTCAAAATAATTAGAGAGAAAAATGTATCTGAAAGCCTAAATTAACAAAAAGGATATTAGTATATTTTTTTACCCGACTATGGATCTATGGATCAGGACTATGGATCCCAAAGGAGGGTTATATGTTTGACCTGTATGTATGGACGAGCCTATGATCCGTCGTTATTACTAAACTGGTAAACCAATTTTCATGATTCACATATCTTTATATTCACGTCATTAGACATTGCAATAATATGAAAAACTTAGCCTGATGCTGAAACATCACCTGGAGTCTGCAAGATACTCAACTCTTTACTAACACATAGGTTACTGTGATTCGGTTTTAATATTGGAGCAGAATAGCGAAATAAATATAAATGCAGTAAGCGATGGTAGGGCTCAATTCGGACAGCGAACTTTGGAATATGAATTAATGATTAGGATTAACGTTAATCTTGACATGTTTTTGACACCATATCGACCCGCATCAGAGTAAGTCTGTAACTTTTTAAATAAGTCCCTATTGTGATACTTGACATTTTAAATAAAACTTACTTTTCGGAATCCAAAAATACAGTTTTATTTAAAAATTCCCTATTGTATCTAAGTTTTCTTTGGCACATCACTATGCGGCAATGGATATATCAAACAACACCACAATAGATAGAGTTGTAATGAAAGATATATAGCTTACTATAGTTTTGGCGCAGAGTGTATGTAAAATGTATGTAAATTCTTAAACTATTTTAAATAATGAAATTTTAATTAAATATTTATTCTATTATAATAACTTTTATTTAAATTATATCGGTGTTTATTTGTTGTGGTATATTCCATTCAATATAAAAACTAAAAAAAACGACTTCCACTAAAATGTAAAAAATAACTAAATGGGGGTTCTCATTTAGAATAGATACCTAATTAGATATTTTCGAAGTCGGTGCCAGCCAATGCAAAGCAAATCTTATATATTTTAATACGTTAAATACATCACAAATTGATGTATGATATTTTAACTGTAATTAGAGTTTATGAACTCTAATCATATTTACCTATTTATTAATCAAATCTTAAAGTATTGTCGGCTGGTTTATTTTCACTCTTTAGATACATATGAAAAGAGAGGCATCTATTTTTCTTAATTTGACAATTCAGCATTGTCTATATCTGTATCAGAATAGATATTTAATATTAATATGCATACCTATCATTATTCGTCATTTTCCATGTTGCCTCAAAAGTTTCATCTCACTAAAATGGGAGAACAAAGCGATTCCAGACTTTTGAGCCAACATATATGTATGTATATGCTAACTTACAGCTTTGCGTCAGTTAAAGTAAGTTTGTATATCATGGTTCTATGGCAAAGGACGGAAACGAAATAACATTTGAATTAAATATGTATGTGTAAGAAGAAGAAAAGGCAGTGGTAGCCCAGTGGTAACGCGCTCGCTTGGGAAGCGAGTGAAGCGGGTTTAAATCCCGGGTCTAGCACCTCTGATATTTTCATGTGCGAATCATTTCCAACATGATTACCACTTGTCTTAACGGTGAAGGAAAACATCGTGAGGAAACCTGCATGTCTGAGAGAACCTAGCAAGTTTTCAAAAGACATGAAGTCCGTCAACCCGCACTTGGCCAGCGTGGTGGACTATAGCCTGATCCCCATTGTATTGAAGGGAGGCCCGTGCCCAGCAGTGGGACGTTAAAAAGGGCTGAATACGTATAAGAATTAGGGCGGTAAACAAGTGCTACTTCAGTTTGCAAAAATATTTTAGTTCCAAAATACTATCACGAAGCATCAAGTTCCTTCTATATAAGACCTTATTAAGACCAATATTGACATATGAGCCAGAATGCTGGGTGCTGATCAATAAGAACGAAAACGCTCTTTTGGTGTTCTACCGCAATATACTTAGGCGCATTTTCGGAGCAGTGCTAGAGGACGAATGTTGGCGAACGCGTTACAATCTCGAGCTGTGCCACTTTTACTAAGAACCAAACATTATTAAGACCATTAAAATCGGACGTCTGCTCTGGACTGGGCGTGTAGTGAGTATGGAGGATTCCCGTATGCCCAAACATCTATTCGACGGTAAACCAGATGGGCCTAGATGTCGAGGCGAGCCTAATCTCAGGTGGTTGGACAGCGTAGAGCAAGACATTAGAGCAATTCGTATCACGAGTTGGAGACAGACAGCCGGAAATAGAGAAAACTGTAAAAATATACTTTACCAGGCCAAAGCTCATCCTGGGCTGTAAAACCATGATTATGATAACATAAATCGTAATACAAAGCAAAACTTACCTGAATAATTATATATAAGTTCACAATAATTTGGACCAGATTATAGACTAGCAATACTTTTGGCAAATGAAATGGTTTCCGATGTTTCATTAGACGTGGTCCTAAATTTGTGCAGAAATAGTAATAGGCGGTCACAAGGCCTATCAATTGATATGGTTTCCTCGTTAGTAACCATCCTTTAGTTATTGGACCTGAAAAACAAAAAAAAACTTATTAGCTTTACCATTTTTTTACATATACCCTTAATTTCAACTTAAAGATTTTTTATAAACTTCTACGATTCTTTTTTTACGGCTTAAAAGATTTATCCACCATTCGAACTTATCCCTTAGGACATAGAACCCTCAAAATGTGCAAACTAAATCCGCGTTACTTGCTTAGTATTATATTAATTTTATGCATATGTTTTATTTAACGCTTTGGCATGCTAGGTCATGACAAACATAGTTAACAACAATGACATGTAAAAATAAAATATTTCAGCATAATAATATGTATACAAAAATTAATAAATTCACACAATATCATTCTCGCTTGTTTCTGCTAATAAAGGGTAAGTCAGGGCCTATAGGGTATAGGTGCCTACTAAATTTAAAAATTAAAATGAAAATTTTGCGTGTTTCGAGGGCATCCATAATAAGTCAGTCGAAAGTTAATTAGTCCAGTCAAATAAGATCTGAAATCAAAATTTGAACCTCAACTTTGCATTTTTGATATAATGTAGTTGTACGAAAAAATTAAAATTCTCTATTGTTTTACCAACTACGTTTTTTTTTAAATTTACGTTCATCCCTAAAACTTAAAACCTCCTTAACTCGGTTCATTTTGACCGGAGGAAAAAAAGTCATGATACTTTTTTATGTAAAATTTTAAGCTCTACATATTTTTATTGAAACTTTTTTGTCTAATATTTACCGTTTTCGAGTAATTGTTAAAAAAATAATTTAGAATTTTTTTTTTCAACCCTTGCCGGGGGTTAATGACACGAAAACCTTTACACACTGTTTTTGTATCATTAAAACTACATTATATCAAAAATGCAAAGTTGAGTGCCCAATTCTGATTTCAGACCTTATTTGACTGGACTAGATGTCAGTGTGGAACTTATTTGTATATATACTTTTTAATTAATACTTTGGTGTTTATTCGTAAAATAATGTAAGTATATCAAATGGTAACTTACACACATACACCTATATACCAGTGTACTTGAGATATTAGAAGCACTAACGGACGGATATCGTAGCTTAGTAACACGATTGCATCAGATTGCCTTTTGGGTGTACAATTTTGAAAAATATTTTTTTAAGTAGAACAGACAAGTTAAACGAATTTGTTTACCGCCTCGAACTTTATTTTTTACCAAGCAATGCACAAAACCACTCGGTGAACAAATAATATAAACACGACTTCCAGACACCAAAAAGTAATGAACGTGACTTTTCATTTACTACAGATACCTAATCAGATAGTCTGTGCGAGGGGATTCAAAGTAGAGCAAATGTATTTCGATATACATGCATACTATAAAGTGGTAAAGTTTGTGAGTTTGTGAGGTTATAGGAAGTAATCTCTGGATCTACTGAACTGATTTAGATGAAATTTGGTAAGAAGATAGTTTGAGACCCTGGAACATATGATACTTTTTATCCCGGAAACCATCCCTTAAGGGCGTGGAAATGGGGATGAAAGTTTGTATCAACCATAAATACATCACAAATGTATGTTAAATATTTTAACTATAATAAAAGTTCATACATTTTCATTTTAACTTATTGAATATTTATATCTTAAAGCATTGTCAGCTAGCTGACTTTGAAAGTCGGTGTCAACGGACATTATAAGTAAACTATAATACATAAATTTGGTTGTTTATTTTATTTATTTTTTATAATAATAATATGATTAAAAAAATAAAATAAAGAAACAACTTGATGTATGTATTCAGCCCTTTTTAACGTTCCACTGCTGAGCACGGGACTCCCTTCAATACGAGGGGGATCAGGCCATAGTCTACCACGCTTGCCAAGTGGGGGTTGGCGGACTTCACATGTTTTTTGAAAACTTGCTAGGTTTTCTCAGACGTGCAGGTTTCCTCACGACGCACATAGGGGTATTAGAGTGATTTGGCCGGCCGCAACTCAATTTCCTAAAATTCAAAGCAGGTTGACAAAAAAGGGTACTCAGGTAGCTAATAGTTCTAAGAAACGTAAACAATACTTCATTGTTTCTCTTTCGAAATTACCATGCGAGAATGAGAATGTCAGTCCAAACTCGATCGTTCATTTGAGTGCATGTATCAGTGTTGTATGTTCGCTGCGTAAGCGAAAGTTTAGATTGCGTTTATATATTTGTTAAAAAATAAAATAAAGTGAAAGCTATGGATTCTGATAAAACAGGTAAGTGTGTATACTTTTTATATTTTTCTAGTAATAATAACTTACAAATCTATTTAATACAATTTTTCTAGCAAGTGCTGTTTTAAGGACATTATTTATTCTTATCTTTTTTATGTTTTAGCTATTTTGTTATATTTCCCGGTATTTATTTTAGTCATTTCGAATAGCCTGTGTACATGTTATCTTGACAATGTATGTAAATTTTTATCCGGTTTTATCTGACATTTGAAAACATACCTAAATGTAGCCGACTGGAAAATAAACAAAATAATATCGATTTCTTATCTATTACTATAAATTGTCCATTTTTTGTTCTAGGATCATCAAAAGTCCGTGTCATGACTCGAAAACACTTGTTTACTATGATGGCGGCAGAAAATTAAAATAATATTAATGAAAGTTAGAGTTTTTGGAAAGATACGTACTAAAATTTGGTCCATTTTCTGACGAGGACATGAAAAAAATTAGTCAAGATTTATCTCGTTTTAAGTCGGAAATGAAAAGAAGATGGACTGATTCTCACTATAAAGAAGATTATTTTCTGAAAAACAATAAAACATGGCTAGAAGGCACCTTTGTTAGACCAAAAGTTACAAACCCAACAGGACGACCACATAAATATTTTTCAGAGTTAAGTGAAAGGAGTAAACGAAGAAAAACGGAAGATTTACGCAAACATACTGAGTTAGAAGTGCTTACATACGCTACTCAATCAAAACTAGGTAAAACTGGAAGGAAAGATGCTTGATTATTTTTTTTCTGTTTATGTCAAGAAAACAGCAGAACAGTATGTTGCGCTTTATCCATGGCATCCCATGACGCCAACATTGCACAAATTCTGATGCACGGATCTGAAATTATAGATAGAGCATTGCTTCCGATTCAATTATCAGAAGAAGCTGCGGCAGCATGTAACAAACATACATGTTTGTATCGCCAGAATTTCGCCTGAAAATTCTCTCGAGAAGCCTGCAACATGGATGTAATTAACAGGATACTTCTTAGTTCCGATCCACTATTAACAGGAATGCGACCTATTCCAAAAAAAATAACCAAACTTTTTATGAAGAAAACGATAGGTTTGTTACTTTCCGCTAAGCCTGATAACGTACACGATAATGATGAGTCATCATTAGGTACAATGTCAGGCTATCGTTCTTCAGAAGAAGAACCGTGGTCTTCTTCTAGCTAAGTAATTTATCCTGGTTTTTTGCTAAGACATTGTAATTATATTAATTAATAAATAAAATAGTTATTATAACAGTAATAATGATTTTATTTTCAAGTATATCCATAAAAATCTATTGAATTGATAAAAATCCACCTATGAGCATCATTATCATTGATTAAAATAAAGAAAAAGTTTTGGCCGGCCAAATCAGTCAAATCCCCCTAAGTAAGCCTACCTATTAAATACATACCTAATCAAATATTTTCGAAATCGGTGCCAGCCCATTCAAAGCAAAGCACACCGACTTCGAAAATATTTGATTAGGTATGTATAGTAAATGAAAACTACCAATCAGTTATTTTTTACTTTTTAGTGCTTTTGTTTGAAGTCGGCTTTTATTTTTTTGTTAAAAAGTTTTTATTTTGTTTCATTAGACAAGCGCAATATGTTAGAATTGGAATTTAGAGCCAGATTTATTTGTGTTACTAATAAAAGCGAATTTTAGTTCGTCAGTCTTTATATAAAAATTGGCATCAAACTAACTTTAACGGCTTAAGCAAATATTTTATTAAAATCCTTTCTTTTTACTTGGCTCTAATATGTCTACCTTAAAAAGGGAAAAATAAAATCTTAAAAAAAACTAACTTCAAAAAACACTAAAAAGTACAAAATAACTGACTGTTAGTTTTCATTTACTATAGATACCTAATCAAATATTTTCGAAGTCGGTACCAGCCGATACAAATCAAAGCACACAGTTATTATTTACTTTTTAAAGTATTTTTTTGAAGTTGGTTTTTATTTTTATTTTTTATTAATCCTTCCACGACCGCGGACACTCCGGCGTTACAGTTAACAATAGATTTCTTAGAAATTTAATTAATTTCTTAGAAATTTACCTGGAGGTGCTAATTATAGTTAAAATATTATATATCAATTAGTGATAGAATTGTTATTTATTTCTTTAAATTGTTATTTTACATTTAAGTGTAAAAGTATTAGTGGCAAATGTGTAAGAAGAAAGTATTTTAATAAAATAATCCATTTAATTTAAAGCCAATTGTCATGATCAAAATAAAATATATAAACTGCCTATCAAACGTAAATTGTTAATATTTTTTTAAAGTACCTAACACTTAAAATATTTATTCGTATTTATAATATAATTCTGTTTTACGAGTTTTTATATGAAATGTAGCAAACTAAAAACGCACGTTTTTAGTAACACTAAAAACTAGGTTCTAAAACCCAAATCTAACGCATTGGACTTGTCAAATCAATCCAAATAAGCCCAAACTCAAAGTACATACAAGTAGCTCTATCTATTGAACAATTACAGTATCCATCTTTTGCCATCACCATCAAATCAACTCGTTGTACTATTTTTTTATATTTTCATCAGTATTACAAGTTATTGCAAAGTTTTAAGTCAATATGACAATGAGAAGTAGGGTAAAAAGGCACATTACAGACTTGAAATTTTATGGTACTTTTTCTGTTTTTTTTTTTAGTTTAATTTTGAAAACAGTATACTCTATATAAAAGAAAATTTTAAAGGATAACCTCGGGATATATTTAAAAAGAATTTAATTTAACAAATTATTCAAGCGATCTCTAAGAAATCGGTGAACATACAGAAAAAAACATACAGACGAAAATAGAACCTCCTCTTTGGGAGTCGGAATGAAGTCAATCATTCTCTGTTAATGAGTAAAAGTTGGACCAACTTATAAAACTCACTTGGTAAATTATTTGCGTCAAAAATTCGACATGTTAAAATTTTTAAGTATAATAAATAAAACTATCTTTTCGGATTATTTCGCGGATTTATTTTGATTTTTGGTTCCCGACGTTTCGAATACTTTACAGCAATCATGGTCAATGGTCATGGGAAAGACTAAGGTTTTAGATGTCTTAAAAGCAAAACTTCGGGAACAAAAAATCTAAATAAAACCGGGAAATAATCCGAAAAAATAATTTTATTTAAAATGCCCAAAATTCGCGTAAATCTAAGAAAGTATTATGTAACTATTATAATTTATTTTCAGGAATTGGCTCGTTTTATAGAAAATTAAATATCTAAGTTATTTAGATGCATCTGTTATTTATTGATTTTGAAATCGAAAGATGGTTTGATGAGATATTGAGTCAAGACAAGAAAGATACAAGCCTTAAAGACAAAACAAGATTTACCACATAAGAGTTAATAGAATGGCAAGCAATAAGAATCACATTGACTTTATAAAATATAAAAACACTCACTAGCCAATTCTTCAAAAGTATAATAATAACTATCTATAATATATTGTAGAGCGAACATTTTTAAAACTATACACACGTTTTAACTCAAAAGTATCCTTTGGAAATTTAAAACATGAAACACAATAATATATGCAAATTTAATTAAATGTAGTAAGTTATATACATAATTTACAAGTTCTATCTAACTTTACAAACAGGTTAAATGGAAAGTGCATTACAATTTTGAAACTAAATTCTAGATTCGTATTTAATTAGACTTTGATATCTGATACTTGACTAATGAGGAAAAAAATGGTTTCATTGCTAAAATTTTCTGTAGAAATTAGTACGTATATATAAGTGCAGGTGGTTATGTGATACTCTCGGGATAGAAAAGCCAGTACTATCCACAAAAACTCAACGGAACATCCTAATCTTAATGGGGCGTCGCACTCAACCACGATCAAAAACGGTTGGTCTACAGAGATAGACCACTACAACCATGAGGTTGCTCAAACCGTCCACTCTGCTATCATAGGAGTACCTCGAGAGAGGTGCTCTTACCTCCAACCGAAGTAGGCCACTTCTCTAAGGCTTGGAAAAGATTCTGGTCCCGCAAAGAAATTTTGAAGAATTCACACATATCCCTAAAAGAAAAAACTACAATATTCATCTCAAACCTGGGCCCCCACTAAGAAGCAAAGTAGAGCACTAAGAGTGTGCCAAAACAAAATGAAAAGAAGTATTCTAAGCATTGAGCTACGGGACAAAATCAAACTAACAAATATAAGAAACAAGACAAGTTACAGATGTCACATACACAGTGAAAAAAGTTTAGTGGAAATGGGCAGGCGATATGAAACAGGAGGGAAAAATGGACAAAAGATATTACTGTTTGATACCCTAGAGGTAGAAAAAGACGGAAAGGACGTCAAAAATAAGATGCGCGGATGACATCAAACAAATAGCTACAAGAACATGGCAAAGAAAAGCTGCAAGTAGGGAAATATGGGCAATCCTAAGGGAGGCCTATGTCAAATGGCGAGTTGATAATAACTTTACTATGGTTACGATAATTTAAATTAGTAGCAAGATTATATGCAAAATGATATCATAGTAGGTGGAATTATAAAATGAAGTTAATTAAAATATTATTGAAATTAAAAGTATAAAATTGAATTAAATAAAATGTACATATATATACATAAATGAAAGTACTTTTATCTAATAATAAAAATTATTTTTAAATTAGTAGCATGATAATATTATTCCGAGAGCTGGCGACGAATTTCGGAAAGGTCCTTTTGGCAAGTTGAAATTGTGAAAAAATATAATTTCGTGAATTGGCGACTCCAGTCCCGCGAGTCTAGTATAGATAGCGTTAGCGGGTATTTCGCTACTGCACAGTATATAACATTTGCAAAAACATACATCCAAAAAAACATATTTTTGGCAACTTGATTTTTGTTTAATCTTTTAATTTAGTTTTCATATAATTAAAAAAAAAGAACCCCAGACGTTTCTGTCGGTTATAAAGTATTGCCAGACCTCTCCAAAGACACGTTATTATAATTCCAAAAAATATACTTTCGGTAATCTGAAATTTTAATCACGTATTTATTGAGTAATTTCCAATAATACTTACAAATCGCCACACGAATTTACCGGTTTTAAACCATTCCCAGACGTAAATAAAGTTTATAAATGAGTACTACAAAAAAATCTTATGCGTAGCCATAGGTGCGAGAAAGATAGCTTGTACGGGATTTCGGCAGTATTTAGAGGAGTAAAATAAAAAACGTGTTCTTGATGCACTTACAAAAGATTTAATAATTTGTTACAAAAAAAATACCCAAGCGGTGGGGTAGACACACCACGAAATTTTCTTTCAATACGCAATTTTGCCTCAATAATTATTCAGGCGCTTTGCACGAACATACTCGTAGCTTATCTCGAGGTATGTCAGCAGTTGCTGGGGGCCTGAGGTCCTTGCGCTGTGATTGGTTATCGAGAAACCGCGCGTTTCGAGTATGGTTCGGGTTCTGCGTTCACAACGGAGTATTTTAGAGTAGTTTATTAGGGTTCCGTACCCAAAGGATTAAACGGGACCCTATTACTAAGACTCCGCTGTCCGTCCGTCTGTCTGTCCGTCTGTGACCAGGCTGTATCTCATGAACCGTGATAGTTAAATAGTTGAAGTTTTTACAGATAATCTATTTCTGTTGCCGCTATAAAAAGAAATACAAAAAATAGAATAAAATAAATATTTAAAGGGGCTCCCATACAACAAACGTGACTTTTTTGCTGTTTTTGTAGATAATGGTACGAAACCC